TGTTTTGCATTTGTGTCTGAAATTTTGAGATTTCAGGGCCTTCGTCCATGCGATATGAGGAGAAGGGTCAGCGAGTATCAGTCACTCTTCCCTTCACTTGATTATTCAATGGCAAGTAGTTAACGTTTTACTAGATTCAAGATAATATTTGAAATCTTCAATCTTAATTCTCATGAAATTTTCTGGTTCAGATGGATGGTGAAGAAGACAATCTGTGGATACCGGACGTTAGGGAATCAGAAGAAGAACTTGCAGAGAGAGGAATGAAACTCATGAAATGGCAAGACAACTGCATCCTTTGTTGAACTAACCATTGTTACAGAATGAACCTAATTGATCCTAATTCATAATTGAATGATCTTAATTTTTGCAGGCTCTGGACACGGCCGGAGAAGGAGATTGCAGTGGTGAGCCATGGGATCGTGTTGCAACACATGCTTTATGTTCTTGGAAATGACTGTGAAAACACAGCCCTGTTCAAACGGTAAGGACTTGCTTATATTTGTTCACTTTTTTTCTTCACAGTTTGATTAATTTTCCTCATTTAAAAGTCTTACGTTATGTTTAATTAGGTTTGACAATTGTGAACTTCGCTCTGTGGTAATCGTGGATAAAAGGTAAGAATATGTATGCAAGATACACATGGTACACACATTTCAACGCTTATCACAAAAGGCTCATCTATCATCCCTAATTTTGCAGCATGATGGCATCGGATTAGCCGAAAACCAGCAGCAACCGAGGAAGATGAAAGAACAGAAGGAAGTTCACATCTGATGAACTTGGTTTTAGAATTTGTTTATGAATTGTTTTGTTTGTAAAATAAAAGTACCAAAATCATAACAATCAATGAACAGGAATACTCGTAAGAATATTTGCATTCAATGAATAAGACATCTTCCATTTCTCAAATTAGTTCACACCTCAAATGTTTCAGACAGTTGTAGATAATCACATACGAAAGTCCCCATCAACCAAGGAGCAAAAACTCGTCGCGGAAATGGAAGATTGCATATTTTCCTGTTTCAATAGAAGAGTGAACCCTATCAGTACGGTACCTCATGCATGGAAACTGAGGCAAGAGAGAAATCATGAATTTTCCATGATCTAGAATAAAAGTCAATAGCAATCCACAAGATGAAAAGATACTATTGACAAGACATCTAGGCATACACATGGCCTAAACCTTTTTGAGTTTTTCTTTATGCTTCCGATAATGCAAACTAAAATTAACTACATTCATCCTTCTTACAGAACACAAAAATCACAACCATTAAATGTGTGAGGTATAGTGTCAATCATAACTTTATCAAATTTATCATATGGTTATTATTAGACATCTTAACATTTTTAATGTCAAGATATCTTGATTATCCTTGTTAGAAAACCGAAAAGAAGAATAATTTGAAAAAAGGTTTATTGCTTTCTTAAATCATACTGTATGTACAATGACCTATATATAGGTGTTTACAAAGAGAATATTCTAAGGTATAAAGTATATAAAGAAAATATTTTAAAGTATAAAATATTTACAATAATTCTAAATATAATTGTGTTCACATCTTAACATTCCACCTCAAACTCAAGGTGGTTTTTCAAGGTGGTTGTGATGAAACCAACTTGAGTTTGGAAAGAAGAGTACGAAAGCGTCCAGGAAAATGAGCCTTGGTAAAGAGATCTGTTGATTGATCAGCGGAGCCAACGAAAACCAAATGAATAGTTTCTTGTGCAACATGATGGCGAATAAAGTGACAATCAACCTCAATGTGTTTAGAGCATTCATGAAAGACATCATTATGAGCAATCTGCATAGCACTTTGATTATCACAATATAAATTAATAGAAGAAGGTTGAGGAATGCCCATATCTTCAAGAAGCCATCACAATGAAAGAAGTTCTGATGTGGTATCCCCGAGAGCTCTATACTCAGCTTCAGTACTAGAGCAAGATGGAATAGCTTGTTTATTACTCCGCCAAGAGATAAGAGAATTACCAAGAAAAAGATAGTAACAAGTGGTAGATCTACGATCAGAAGGATTACTGGCCCAATTAGCATTAGAGTAAGAGCGAAGCACAGGGGAGAAGTTGGCAGAAAAATGGAGTCCATGAAATAATGTTCCCTTAACATAGCGAATAATACGAAGTACTGCTGCATAATGAGTGGAGTGAGGAGTAGCCATAAACTGACTAACAATGTGAACTGCATATGCTATATCAGGGTGGGTCGTAATAAGATAAACCAAACTACCAACCAATTGCCAATAACGAGTAGGATTAGAAAGTGAAGAGCCATCCATAGGTGTAAGCTTGATATTAAGTTCAAGAGGTGTAGAAACACTCTTACCATCATTGAGTTCATCTTTAGAAACAAGATCGAAGGCATACTTTACTTGAGAAAGTAGGTAGCCATCATCTGAAGAGGTCACTTCAAGCCCCCAAAAATAGCTCAGAACACAAAGATCTTTCATCTCAAATTTCTAATTGAGAGATTGTTTTAACTCCTCAACACCTGTGACATCATCTCCAATAATAATCATGTCATCAACATAAAGAAGTAAAAGAACCATACCCCGAGCAGTCTTATGAATGAACAAAGCTATATCATGTGGACTGGAAGTAAAACCAAACTTACTCACAGTAGCACTAAACTTTGCATACCAGGCTCGAGGGGATTGCTTCAACCCGTATAATGCACGGCGCAATCAGCATACCTTGTTTAGAGGATGGTTGAGCCCAGGAGGTGGTTTCATATAAACTTCTTCTTCTATGTCACCATTAAGAAAAGCATTTTTCACATCCATCTGAAACAATTTCCATCTCTGCATAGCAACAATAGCAAGCAAGCTGTGCATAGATGTAAGATGAGCAACTGGAGCAAATGTTTCCTCATAGTTGATTCCATACTCCTGTGTAAAACCCTTGGCAACCAAGAGTGCCTTATAACACTCCACAGAACCATCAGATCTTGTTTTGATCTTGTACACCCATTTACACCCCATTAGAGATTTTTCAGCATGGAGATCAACTAAATCCCATGTACGAGTGTTCTCAAGAGCTTGTAATTCATCTTGCATAGCTTGTTGCCAAAAAGGGTTAGAAGAGGCCTCTTGATAGGATTAAGGCTCATATAACGAAGTAATAGTAGGAAAACAATGATAATCACGAAGGTAGTTGGGAGGGTTTCTTACCCGAGTAAGATGACTTGAGGATAAGACAACAAGCTCATTTGTAGAATCAATAGGTGATATAGATGAGGAAGTAGAAAAAGGCTCAAAACTATCTAATGTATTACCAGCAAGCAAATCATCTTCTACAGAACTAGTTGGAGCATGTGATGAGGCATTGTAGAGCTCATCAAATGTACCTGCATTAGAATTACTATGACATAGCTCAATAGAAGGATTAGTAGAAAATGGAGGTTGATGAAAGGATGACACTTTGAAGTTTGACAATGATAAGAACATAGTGTGTTCCCAAAAGACAACATGACGTGAAACTCGGAGTTTTTATGACACAGGATCCCAACAACGATATCCTTTTTGTGTAATCCCATAACCTAAAAAACAGCATAATCGAGCTCTAGGTTTTAACTTGTTATGTTCATGAGGTGCAAGAAGAACAAAACATGCACAACCATAAACCTTAAGAAGATTATAAGCAGGAAGAATACCATGTAGACGCTCATATGGAGACTGGTTATTAAGGACTGATGATGGAATGCGATTAATAAGATAAACAACTGTAAGAGCAGCTTCACCCCAAAATCGCTATGGACAAGAAGATGAAATGAGCAGAGCATGAACAGAATCAAGGATGTGTTTATGTTTGCGTTTGGCTCGCCCATTTTGCTCAGAAGTACAAGGACAAGATTGTTGTGGCAGTGTACCCTGTTCTTTCAAAAAGGATTGAAGTTTAATACCAAGATATTCAGTAGCATTGTCAGTTTTCAAAACTTTGATAATTTTAAAGAACTGAGTTTTGACCATGGTAGCAAAATCAATATAAATTTGTGATAATTCAGAGCGACTTTTCATAAGGTATATCCAGGTAAAACGAGTATGATCATCAATAAATAACATGAAATACCTTGAACCCCCCATGGTGGGTGTAGGAGATGGACCCCAAACATTGGAATGCATGAGATCAAAAGGAGCAGTAGAATGAGAATGACTACTCAAAAAAGATAAAGCTGGTTGCTTTGCAGATTGACATGACACACAATGCACGGATTCATTCGGAACTGATCCTAATAAACCACGAGAGATAAGTGGATGAAGTTTACCGACTAAGGTATGTTCGAGTCATGAGTGCCACAAATAGAGAGGAGAAATGTTAGTATCAGCACAGACTTGGAAGATTTGTTGATATGGAATTTGCAAAGACTCTAATTCAACAACACAAAACAGGGTTTGGATGAATCGATCATTTGGAAATGATGGTGTATCCATTTTATTATCAGGAATATACAGATAGTTGAGCTCAAACAAACGCTCCACCTTGCGACCAGTTACAAGAAGTTGTCCTGTCCGTGGGTCCTGCACACGGCAACCATGAGCAAAAAATGTTACTTCAAGACCAAGATCACATAATTGACCGATACATAGAAGATTGTAACTAAGTTTTGGAACTAAAAGGGCATTTGGTAAAGTCAATGACTTTGTAGAAACATTGCCAATGTGACTAACATTCATAGGGGAACCATTAGCAGAATAAATATCAGGAAAGGAATTATTAGGAGACATTAAAGAGAAATAAGTAGTAATTGAAGACATATGGTTACAACAACTAGAATTGAAATACCAAGGTTTGGTACCCGGAGCAATAGATAAGGCAGTAGGATCATTAAAAAGATTTAATATCACCTGTTTTAGGGATTCAAGGTTGACATTAGGTTGTTCTATCACTTCTTGGGCAACCATAGCAGTAGCAGGATGAGTTACAATCCTTTCAAAACTCGTCATAGAATCAGTAAGCTCACAATACTGAAAAATTCTAAAAATATGAAGAAATAGATGCCAAGATCGAAATAACAAACCAACAAAATATCTCAGAAAGGGCCTAAGAATTGAGGATAAACAATCCAATCTGTAGGAGAAGAGATCCCAACGATAAAGTTTCAGATTTGGAATGGAATTGAAAATCCAACTCCAAAAAACCCAATAGTGATGATAAGAGAAAAAAACTAGGAGCTTATAGCTCTGATACCATGTTAGAAAACCGAAAATAAGAATAATTTGAAGAAATGTTTATTTCTTTATTGAATCATACTGTATGTATAATGACCTACATATAGGTGTTTACAAAAAGAATATTTTAAGATATAAAGTATACAAAGATAATATTTTAAAGTATAAAATATTATAATAATTTTAAATATAATTGTATTCACATCTTAACAGTTCCTTTTCCCTATTTCATTTCTCCGTCGAAGTTCTCTTAAATTCATAATAATAACTATCCTGCGATAGATGTGATGGGTAGCAATCCAATTAAAAATAGCCACATATTGTTTCTATCAAGTCAACATCCAGTTAATTATTGCATACTAACCAGAAGAATTTGCACTCTCTTCGCAGCTTTGCTAATTGCCAGCTTCGGTCAATGGTTTTTGTTGACAGAAGGTGAGCTTGATTTTTCAGGAACTCATTTATAACATTTAGACATCCTTCATTTTCTAACGCTCGGTTTTCTCCTCGTGTTCTGCAGTATGATGCGATCAGATTCTGCAAAGACTAACTACCCTAGAAAAATCCCGCACGGGCTGGATCTTCCTAGTGATGTTGCCGATAGGAAGCTTCTTGATGGAGTTACAGAGTGAAAATGCAGTCTGGATAAGGCGTAGGATGGGGCAAAAGACAAGGTTAAATGGCTCATCAAACATGAGAAACATGAATTTGGAATGTTCAAAAGGCCGATAAATTATTTTCCTGACCAAAGGTTAACAAAACATCACTAACTGATTGGCAACTCATATCTGTTGTACCATGGGCCCATGGCAGACACTGATTGAAAATTGTTCAGTAATGAGTTTATTTCTATTATTTGGTTTACCATTTTCAACACTTGTAATCAATGGAAAAAATGAAAGAAGAAAAAGGGGAAAGGAAATGAGAAATCAAAAACATCTTTTTCAGTCCCCACGAGGAATATGAAAACATATATATATATATATATATATACAACGTATTTTCATGAGAGAATTTGCCTACAGATCGGGAAAACGCCAACGTTTTAAAAGCGTGACAAAATGTTCATGGGTCCATCTGCTACTATTTGTGAGCGCAAACCAAGCCATCATTGTTGAAAAGATTTTGTTGGCAAAAATGCTTCTTAAGCCCTAAATTTATGTTAAAATAGCATTTAAGTCTTTAAACTAAAAATGAAGCAGATAAGCCCTCCAACTTTCTAACGATGCAAATAAACCCTTTTCACAAATGGGTCAAATAGTATTCATGTTTAATATCACCTTGAAAACATGAATATCCATGAATAAAAAGGGTTTATCTGCATCATTAATGGAGTTGGAGAGCTTATCTACTTTATTATTAGTTTAGATGTTTAAATGTTATTTTAAGATAAATTTAAGGGTTTAAAAAGGGTTTTTACTAATTTTCTTTTACTAAATTTTTGAAAAAATCAAAGTACATACGTTAAATCATATAAGATTTTTTTTTTAAATATATATCTCTCTATTTATAAAATTTAAAGTTAAAATTTTATTTAAGAAAAATCTCAATTTGCACTTGGGCCTCTGGATTCAGTGACGTCAGACCACGCATAAGTGCATTCCCCCACCCCCAGGGCAACAGTTTAAATCCAACCCTATGCGAATTTGTTCAAAAAAAAAAAATCTCAATTCTTTTTATTAAAATCAACATATTGTTAGTGAAAATTTTATAATATTTATAAATAGTGAAACAAGTTATTTTTCGTTGTATGGTAAAACAAGAGTTTTGGATTCTTGACATATAGAGCATTCGTTGAAATGCTTAGGAGGGTGTTTCACTGGATAATAGTTTGAAGACTTGGGGGTTCAAAATGGAATCAAATATACCAACAAAAATCAAAGCAAACTGCAGGCGGGTGTCGACAGAATGGATTGAATCTGTGTTCTTCTTGGAGAGACCTATAATGCTCGTCTTCATCCACTATCCAATTTTGCCTATTTTAAGTTATTGGTTTGTTTTATTAAACTGAATTTTTTAAAGCCACGCTCTTTGGCTTTGCAAATTGCAACCATCTCTAGCAATTTTGAATTACTTATTTTTTTTTGTAGGGTAGTATGCCCTATGATGGTTCAAGTACCTAGACGAAATCAAATTGAACAAAACTCTTAAAGATAGGACACTCGGATCACTTTCATGTGGGACAATGTTATTGCACTTATATTTGTTTACTAATTCTTGATATTATAGCCTTGATTGTTTTATTAGGCTGGGAAATTTCTAGGAATTTAAGGGTTGAAGATTGGGATCTTATGGTCTTCTCCTATGTTCATTGCAAATTTTCCACACTTCAAAGGATACATAATTTTCTGCACAGATGAAAGGTATCTTGAGTATTTTTTTCGGTTTCTCGTCCGGTATCTGGGATTTTGCCTCGACTAATTCGGACTCGATCCGCGTCGCGCACTTGGAAATGGTGGCTGAGTCTCCCAGCGAGGGCTGCTGCGTTCACAAGGTTTCGAACTCGAGACCTTGCTTAAGCTGGAACATCTTGAGCATTTTGTTGGGCGGCCTTTTTTCGCTTTCTCTGTTATTGCCATTTGCAAGGTGATCTGACAAAAACAAAGCAATATGTATTTGTAACAGTTGATATTGGTGTCAATATGTAGTCCAAAAGACTTCGTATAAGTTTTATACGGTCCACAACATATATTAAATTACATATTTATTCCCACAACATATCACATTATAAATCTAGTTATGCAACATACTTATTGAAACTTTTGAATATGATGATGCTTGGATCATTTAATATAAATAAAAAAATCTTACAAAAATGACCTTTATTTGTGTGTGACATTTTTTTTTTATACATTTGAAATTTTTTTTTTAAATCTTTCTCTTTATTCAATTTAAAATTTGAATTTAAAATATCTAATTTTAAATTTTAAATTCTTAACAAATTGAACCTTTGAGTCTATATATCATCTATTAAAACAATCTGGCTCTACTCTCTTCTAATATATGCAGGCTATGGACAAGAAAAGAGAAGGAAATTGCCATTGTTAGTCATGTCGTATTCTTGCAGGATACAGTTATGGCAGTTGGACCCAAGTCTAACCTACCAACGAAGACTGATCTCTTTAAACGGTGAACTGCGAAATACCCCCCTTTTTTTTTAAATTAAAAAAAAAAAACCCACTTTGTTCCATCATATATTTCTATAAAACATGATTACTTTCTGTAAATTATGTGTAGATTTCAGAATTGTGAGCTTCGTTCAGTTATCATTGCGGGTGAAAGGTATGTTGTTTTCCTTTTCTTTTCATTCATTCCTTTTTTTCCTTTTTGCCTTTTCATTTAATTTAAAACTTTATGTTCTGAAATTTGCAGCTTGATGAGTTTAGATTCCTTGGCAAATGGCAAAAACAGTGGAAGAATTCAGTGCAGTCTTGAGCTTCCTAATGCTGCTGCCAAAGAGACTGTTACAGAGAAGGAACATTAATTCCCTAGTGCTCTTTCCTGGTGATTTGCATTTGGAAAACTCAATTAATAAAATATATATTGTGAGCTGAAAATATAATTGAAAATAAACCATTTATCATGCACTTCACTGGTTTAAGCTAGCTAAATTGATAAACCACTAAAAATCGTTCCATTCATAAAGCGTGTGGCCAGGATTTTTTTCTTTTTTTTGGAAAATAGTGGCCAGTATCTATTTGAATCAACATTTCCAAGATCTAGTTCAAGTTCTTTCTCGTGTAGTGAAAATGCCTTACAATCTGAAGTTTTATACTTAAGGGAAGATAAGTTCTTGTTGGATGTTGGAATTGAGAGTCCCCAAATTTCTATGCAAGATGAGCCTACAGGAGTGCCCATCAACCCAGCCGCCAGGTTTGAGAATAATGTGGAATCATTGTTTATTTCTTAACCTCATTGTTATATTTGGGTTAAAAGAAACTAGGGAATGAAAAATAAGAGGAGAATTATATCTTTTTATTCTTTTTTATTTCCCTTCCCTCCCTTTTCCTCTTTTTATTTTTTTGATAAATAACTAAATTAAAAGAAAAAGTAAATAAAAATCTTCTCCTCTCATTTCTTATAATATGTTTTAGTCATTTGATTTTAAATAACAACGGTTAACTATTATATAATTAAACATTTATATTAATCAAATTTGTTGTTTATTATCTATTATTTACTTTTTATTATTTATTATTCATTATCCAATAACCATTATTTATTAAATTTTAATCATTATATCAACAAACCATAAATGAAAAAAAAGTTTTTTTCCTCCTCTCCTCTTCATTCTCATCAACTCAAACATACTATAGTATCTAGTTTCGATTGCCCCTCCCTAGATGAAGATGATTGGATTATAAAGTGGGAGATA